TAACCAATGTCATAAAACAACATGTGTACTTCTGTTTCATGAGAAACTATTTGTTCTGTAAGCCTTCCCCTGAAGTACAATTAAAAAAAAAAAAAGAAAACCCTGTGGAGCAGTTCTACTCTGCAAACATGAGCTCACCCTGAATCGGAATGACTGTTTTCTTGGCTTAAAACAAGTCTCAAGCAAGAAAGAACTAGAGGGAAACTCTAAGTAGGGACATGTGGCTTAACTAGTGGCTTAAGTCTGTCCTCAGTTCTGTATCCTCTTTGATGTTCTCTCACTGTGATTCCCATCAACCATCCCCTAACCCCTCCATAGTCTCTTTCCTGAGCTCTTCTCATATCAAACCTTGTTTGAATAAGGGGGGTATTTTTCCACAAGAGGGTTGGTGTAACACCAAAATAGGTTTGGTCTTGCTTTGAAGCAGAGTAGGAGAGTGGGGATGGGGAGGGATGAGCCTGAGAGGCAGGCAGGGCTGGGTCATGCAGAGCCTTGGGCTTTATTCTGGAAGAGGAGGGCAGCTACTGAAGGATTTAAGCAGGGGAGTGACAAGTTAGTGTAACATTTTCAATATAGCACCCTGGTAGCCAAAGAAAGATAATCTATAGGAACACAAGTGTGGAGACAGGGGTGATAGTTAGGAGGCTGCCGCAGGTGTCTGGGTGGAATGTAGTGAAAGCCTGAACTAAGGTAGTAGGATGAATGGTGAAGGGGAAAGGACAAATTTTAGAAATATTTAGGAGGTAAAATGGCATGACTTGGTGGTTGGTTGGTTGTGTGGGGGTAAAGGAAAAGGAGGAGAAATGGACACCTGGGGATCCCCCTGTGACTACTGTCTCCCACCTCCAGCCCACCCTTGTGTCCCTACTCCCCTCTAGACCCTCTCACCTGGCAGAGATACCCACTGGGCTGGGCCACGCAGGTGGCCCCATGCTGGCAGGGCCTGGACTCACATGGGCTCACCCTGTCCTGGCATAAGCTGCCTTGGAATCCAGGGGGGCAGTGGCAGAAATAGGAGAGGCCGCTGTCGATGCAGAGGCCTCCATTCTGGCACGGGGAGGAGACCTCTGTGCCTGGGGAGAGAGACAGACAGGCATAGATGAAGCTAAGTGGGGTGGAATGGTGTTCATGGCCACCAGACACTGAGCAGAGGCCTTTACCTTGGGGGCTGCTAATATGCCTGAGGTAGGTGCAGGCTACTCTGAGCCTGAGGAGTTAGTACTCCTAACAATGAAGAGGTTAAAACATCAAATTCCTCCTCCTCTGGCCTTTTTAGCCAGAATGTTGGCTTCTTAGGCTATCAGAGTGTTATAAATTGACTGTTTTCTTGGCTTAAAACAAGTCTTAAGCAAGAAAGAACTGGAGGGAAACTCTAGGTAGGGACATGTAGCTTAACTAGTGGCTTAAGCCTGCGGCCTGAATTTTGTATCCTCTTTGATTTTGTCTCACTGTGATTCCCATCAACCATTCCCTAGCCCCACCATAGTCTCTTTCCCAAGCTCTTCTCATATCAAACCTTGTTTGAATAAGGGGGCTATTCTTCCACAAGAGAGATGGTATAACACCAAAATGAATGGGGTGGAGTGGAATGCATTGAGTGTAGTTGGGTTAAATGTGGTCCACTCTGAGTAACAATGATAATGACAGAGTTGAGTTGCTCCACATTGAGTTATATCCCTGCTGGTTGTGTTACACTCGAGTCTTGCTGACTGGGCTGGTTGGTGTTGTTGGAGTTGTGTAGAATGTGGTGACAGGAGTTGAGTTGTGTTAGGCTGAACTGGGTGTTGAGCAGTGGAATCAATAACTGTGAGTGGTCTGTGTTGTCTTGAGTCTCGGTTGTTTTGGCCAAAGTTTGAGTGTGGATGCCCTTAGGGATGGGGTAGAGGAGGAACCCTTTCCTCCTTTATCTGCTCCTCAATCAGTCCTTGGGTTGGTACCTTGGCTCAGAACAGCAGTTTGGCAGGAGGATAGTTGAAGGTCACAGAGAGGCCCAGTCCATCCTGGGAGGCACAGGCACTGGAAGGAGAGTCCAGTTTGGAGGCAGCGGGCATTGTGTAGACAGGGTTTCTGGGCACATAAGTCCACCAGGGTCTAATGGTGGGAGCATGAGACAGGACAGAGCATCAGGTTCCCAGGCCCAGAGATAGTGCTTTGCTAAACTCCACCTCCTCAAAATCCCTTCCCTCTAAAACTCTCTTTTGAGTGGTCTGAGACTAGGTGACCCTTCTTGGTTTCCTTTAATACTCACATTCTGGAACAGCCCCTGGGTTCAGAAATCCCTTCGGTCCTTCCTTTTTCACTCAATACGAACCTCAGGCTAGATCCCAACTCCTAGACTTCATATCTCCCTTCATGTGCATATCTATTCCCGGCTGTTGCCCTCTCCACTAGAGCTTTCCAGTTACCTTGGCACACCTGGCTCAATCAATGCCCCTTACCTGGCAGCTGCCTCCTGTGTAGCCAGGGGGACAGAGGCAGCGGGGACCCTGAGGGCCATCTTGGCAGGTTGCCCTGTTCCTACAGGGTCTGGACAAGACAGAGACAGGGCACAGTAGGAGGAAGTTCTGGGAAACAAGGGGGAGGGACTGTGTGATATGGTGAGGTGGCAACTATGGGGGAGATGGGAAACCAGGAGGGAAGATCAAGTGAAGGCTTCAGGGATGTGGGATGGGAGACAGCCTAGAGCCCAAGGGCAGATGGAGAGGAAGGGTGGGGAGGCGAAGGCTCTCCCTCCCTTCCTCCAGGGGTCTTACCTGTCTGCACAGCTGGGATGGATCCTTCCTTCACACCGTGGGCCCTGGAAGCCCGTGGCACAGAGGCAGGAGGCGGTGCCAGGCCTGTTCACACAGGTACCCCCATTGAGGCACGGGGCTGGAGAGAGGAGGCTGTGAGGGGTTTGGTTCCTTACCTGTAACCTCAGTCACACACCACACAGGGCATAGCCCCCGCTTCCCCCTACCCCATCAGACCAACAGTTCACTGCCATCCAATTAATTTTAATATGGCACAACTCTACCCTGGGCAGTCCCTCCATCCTCCTGTGGCCTAGCCTAGGACATGGTGGGCACTCACCAGAGGCACAGTGGTCGGTGTTGGTCTGGCAGCGGAGCCCCGTGTGGCTCGGGGGGCAGGTGCAGGAGTAGCCTCCAGGGCTAGGACTGCAGGAGCCTCCATTGAGACAGGGCCCTGAGTAACATGCTGTCACTTCCTCACTGCAGGTGGGCCCTGAGGGAGACCAGTGGGGCCTGAGACAGGGGATATTCCTTCTCTCCTCTCTCCTCTCCCCTCTACCTCTACCCACCTCCTCTTTCCTTCCCCCCCCTTCCTCATCTCCATTCCTGTTGTTCTCCCCCATCCAACCTCTTTTCTTCCTTCCCACCTCCTGCCCATCACCTGTGTCCCCCCTGCAGCCCATGCCTAGTTCTCCTTGATGGTGACTGCGACCTGGATGTGGACACATGTCTCCACTGGTCTTGACCTCGACTTAGGGGGTGACCATCCAAGGGTGTATATCGTTTAGAGGGCCTCACCTGTGTAGCCGGCGGGGCAGGTGCAGTTGTAGCCAGAGGGCTGGGGGGAGCAGGTCCCCCCGTGGGCACAGGGCATGGAGATGCAGCCCCCCAGCTCTGCCTCACACTCTGGCCCTGTCCAGCCCATGTCACACACACATGAGGACCTGGTCATAAAGAGAAAGGGGAGGGTTTTTCTCTTCTCCTAGTATATCCTCTTCCCTCTCCATTGGCCAGACCTCACTGACCTCCTCTTTTTTTTGGTTCTGAGATTCTGGTCTCTTTCTTCAGTGACTTTGTTCTCAGCATCATCCTTCCCCTCATATTCTCCAACTATACATCTGTTATTGGCCCTGGGATTCAATGCTCTTCTTTCTGCTCAGACCCCTAAGTGCTCTTTTTTCCCCCGTGATTTATGAGCTCTCCCTTCTTTTGAGAACGATCACCAGTGGAGCCCTCCCACTGGTTGTGACCTAAAAACTTTGTCATCTCCTCCCTGTTCACCATTTCCTACAGACCCTCCCCTCACTGGCTGCCCTCTCCTGCCCAAGCAGAGGAGGACAGAAAGGGGGGGGCAGATGGGGAGGGCCTAGAAGATGTTACCTCTGGCAGTGCCCACGGTGGCAGGTGCAGTTGTCCTCAGCAGGGGCACAGCCAGGGCTTCCATCGGGGCAGAGGCAGTGGGCCTTGTCCTTCTGATCCTGGCATTCTTGCTTGTGCTGGCAGAGGTTGGGGGCACATAGGGGGACCTCACAAAACTGGCCTGAGTGAAGAGAGATGGGTCAGAGAGAAAACAGAGTCCTTCCATGTCCTTGATGGGGCCAAAGGCCACTTCTAATGCATGGCTTACTCACTTCCCCATGGACCTGCCCTTCCATGGCTCTCTATGCTTTCAGGATACTGTATGAACTCCCCAGAATGATGCTCAGGGTCCTGCATGGCATGATCTTCTTGCAGTTGCTGCATTTCTCATCTTTACTCTGGGCCACTTACAGTTCCTTGAATGGGGTGCAGTTATCTCCAGCTAAAACAATGTCTTACATTCTGTCTTGACAAACTCCTACTCATACTTCAAGACTCAGCTCAGCCTTCACCTCCTCCATGAAGCCTTCACATCTTTAGTCTGAGTTGACTGGTCCTTTGTGCTCCCATAGGATCCTGTGCATTCCTCTCTCAGAACACTTCTTTGGGCTACAATCATGGTTTACTTGTTGGTGTCTCCCCACTAGATTCAAAGCTACTTGAGGATAGTAAGTCTCTTACTCAGCTTTGCATCTGCCACACAGTATACTGTCTGACATAGCAAACCTATTGCCATTGAGTTTATTCCATTTAACATGTTATTGTTAGGTACTGTCAGATTGATTCCAACTCATAGCGACCCTATAGGACAGAGTAGAGCTGCCCCATAGGGTTTCCTAGGCTGAAATCTTTATGAGAGCAGATTGCCAGGTCTTTTCTCCCACGGAGCCACTGGTGGGTTTGAACCACAGACCTTTTGGTTAGCAGCCGAGTACTTAACGGTTGCACCACCAGGGCTCCTTCTGTCTGACATAAACGAAAAAAACAAACCCACTGCCGCTGAGTTGATTCTGACTTACGGTGACCTTATAGGACAGAGTAGAACTGCCCCATAGGGTTTCCAAGGAGCACCTGGTGGATTTGAACTGTTGACCTTTTAGTTAGGAGCTAAGCTCTTAACCACTGTGCCACCAGGACTCCAAAACAGGGAAGCATCCCTGGAGGTGACGGGGACCCAACTTGGAACCTTATATATGCAAAGCATGCACTCTACCACTGAGCTACACCCCCAGGTGTCCGACATAGTAGGTACTTAATAAATGCTTGATAAATAAACAAATGAATGGCTTCCATTTGGGCCCCATCTTCTGCTCCTGATCCCCAATCACACCATTCATGTTGGACCTTATGTAAGTCCTACAGTAACATCCACCCTTGTCCCCATGATTGTGTGGTTGTGCACGTTTTGCACAATAATTCTCATTTCAGTTTCACATCCCAACCCTCAAACACCATCAATGACCTCCCCTCCTACCCGAAATAGGCTCAAGCACCCCACCAGTCATTTCCAGTGCCTCTCCTGCTTACCTGTGAGGCCGGAGGGGCAGAGGCAAGAGAAGGCTCCTGGGAGATCAAGGCAGCTGGCACCAGTAGGGCATGGGCCACTCAGACACTCATCTACCTCTGTCTGACAGCGCGGGCCTTCAAAGCCTGGGGCACAACAGGAGGCTCAGGGACGTTCAGGACATCTGCCCCCTGCCCTCATATCCCCCTCCAGTGTCTGAGCCCCAATTTACCTTGGAGACACTTGCAATGGAAGGCTCCAGGCTGGTCCTGGCACTGCCCACCATTGGCGCAGGGAGAGCTTTCACACTCATTGATGTCCTCCTCACATCGCGTGCCAGTGAATCCTGGCAGGGCAGGGAGTGGGTGGGGGAAGAAGGCAAAGGTCATTGAGGGAGATGCAGCGAAGCTCTTCCCCTTGCCAGGAAAGGTGAACCTGGAGGGCTTCCCAGAGAAGACCCCTGGGCAGGTTGGGATCAGGGTAACGGGAAAGTGATGCAGAAAAGGTGAAGCTTGGCCACCTGCTAACTGTGTGACTTTGGGCAAGTTACTCAACCTCTCTACAACTGAGTTTCCACCTCTGTAAAAGAGAAATAATAATAGAACCTACCTCATGGTACAGTTGAAAGGATTTAATGAGAAAATGCCTGAAAAGTACATAGCCAAGTGCTTGGCCTGGAGCAAATATGCAATATATGTCAGTTGTTATCCGAGCAGGAAACAGAGGGATGTTTGGTGGTGCTGGAGGAGAAAGGCCTGGGACAGCTTCCCTGTGTCCAAGGCGAACAGTGCCAAGACCATCCTGGAACCCCCCACATGAAGGGACACACAGGACTCTGAGGAGGACTGGAAAGGAAGGATATTTGGGTGACTTGACAGGAACAGAGATGAGGTGGGTGAGTAAGCAAGGGAAGATTTGGGGGATGTAATGGAGGAGAGTTTGGGGAGCAGAGAAGGGGCTGGTGAAATGGGGGAACTCTTTGGCCAGGCTAGAGAGAGATTCGAGAGTCTTTGGGTGAGAGAAAAATGTAGAACAAAATTTAAATTCATAAGAAAGGCCAGATCTACTGGATCGATAGAGACTAGAGGAATCCCTGAGACTATCGCCCTAAGATACACTTTGAACTTGGCACTGAAGCTACTCCTGGAGGCCACCTTTCAGCCAAATAATAGATTGGCTTATAAAACAAACAATATTACCCATGAGTAATGTGCTCCCTTAAACAATCAACTATATGAGACCAGATGGTCAACATTTACCCGAAAGCAAAGATGAGAAGGCAAGGAGGGGAAGGGAAGCTAGATCAACGGAAACAGAACAAACAGAATGGAAATAATGAGAATGCTGACACATTGTGAAAATTGTAACCAAAGTCATGAAAAAATTTGTGTAAAAATTAAAGGGGAACCTAATTTGCTGTGTAAACTTTCACCTAAAACACAATAAAATGTTAAAAAAAAAAAAGAGGCTTTGGGTGATTGCTGGCCTGAACTCTGGTGTTTTAGAGGCCTGGGGGCTAAGGGGTCTAGAGTGGAATTGCACCCACCGGGCGGGCAGATGCACACGAAGCCGTTGTGCAGGTCGTGACAGTCAGCGTGGTTCAGGCAAGGAGCTGAGGCACACTCGTCCATCTCCACCTCACAGAGCCGCCCTTCCGAGCCTGGATATGGGGGTGTGCGGGACATGGGGGTGTGCGGGAGATGAGGCTTGGCCAGGCCAGCCCTGCCTTGGCTGCCCCACTTCTGCCCAGGAGACCCAGGTTCTAGAGCCAGCCCTGCCCTGCCCCCATCGAGCAGCCCCTCCTTGGGTGCTGATGGCCCGTGGGTAGGAGGAGTTGGTTCTCGAGGCTCTGCTCCTCTGCAGTCTGTGCCTCTGCCTCCTTTAGGTGTGTAAGCACGGGGAGCAGGGCACCTGCTTGGGGCCTGTGGGAGGCCTGCGAGCAATGCCTTTTAGGGGCCATTCCTGTGTGCATGACGGTAGGGCTCACCTGGGTGGCTGATCAGTCTATAGATCCTTACATGAGACCAGTGAGCAGCAAGTTGGAGGGTCATTCATTCCTCTTGTTCTACTCGATCAAACCTCCGTGCCAGGGAGACCAGCAATCCCAAAGGATTTGAAGGACATTTGGGAAGCTGTGTTGCTCCTATATTTGTCCCATTACTTTGGGCTGATTCTGGTTTCCACTGCCTCACCCTAACTGAGGCTGGATCATCCTCCGAGCCTTGGCTGCGTCTGTCTTCTTGCCTGGGGAGCCTGCCTCTGAAGCTCTTTGCTGTCCACGACCTTGTTCCATGGATGACTGAGCAATTTTTTATTTTTCTCTGATTGTCTGTGGATGGCCTGAGCTACCGATCCTTGGCTCCTGCTCAGCTTAGAAACGTGGGGTTGTGTAGTGGTGAAAACTACCGAATCCCGGCTCTGCCACTTACTAGCTGGGTGACCCAGGACAAGTGACTTAGCCTCTCTGTGCCTTAGTTTCCTCATTTATAAAATGGGCCTAGTACCAATGCTGACCTGATAGGGTTACTGTAAAGATTGTTCTGGAGTCTGTTGAGTCAATTCCGACTCATAGTGACCCCATGTGATAGAGTAGAACTGCTCCATAGGGTATTTTTGGCTGTAATCTTTACAGAAGCAGATTGCTAGGTCTTTCTCCCACAGAGTCGCTGGGTTCAAAGCACCAACCTTACGGTTAGCAGCCAAGCAATTAACTGTTGTGCCACGACGCTCCTTATTGTAAAGATTAGATGAGATAATGCATGTAAGATGTTCAGACAGTACCTGATACAAGTAAGCTATTATTTTGTGGTTTCATCCAGCTCCCTGACATTTGGTCCGTTGCTCTCTCCCTTGGGAGGCTTCTTCCCCTCAAAACTAGCTTGGAGGTGGGTGCTGCCTCACAGCTCTCCTTTCCTGTTGCACTAAATTCAAGCACACAGGCCCCTGGGAGGTTTTTAGGGTTTGCTCTTGTTCTCTACTAGGGATCGTTTCTGTGATTAGTGGTAACAGTCTGGGTTGGCACAAACAGAGGCTGCAGTGTACCATGGACCAGGTTATGAAATGAATGCGGCCCCCTAGAGTTGAGCAGTGCCCAACCCCATTGCCCTCTGTGGCAGCCCTTCTCCTAGGGGTCGTGGTTTCCCAGAGTTTTCATCTTGGGGAGAGAAGAGGAGGAGAAGCCGCCTTTGGTAACTGACCCCAGCTGGCCTGAGGCTATCCTTGCTCTGGAGGGGGGAATGCCCAGTGGGGTCAGGATCAGTTCCCTGTGCCCCCTACCCAAGGCCCCACCTAGCTGGTACCTGGTGGGCAAAGGCAGTGGAAGGTGGCAAGCAGGTCCAGGCAGGTGCTGCCTGGGTGGCAGGGTTGGGACAGGCACTCGTTGTGATCGGCCTCGCAGCGGGAGCCCGTGTAGCCAGGGGTACACAGGCAGTCGAAGGAGCCAGGGGTGTTAAGGCAGGAGCCGCCGTGTTCACAGGGACTGGGGCCTTGCTGGGCTGGGAGGAAAGAGCACGGAGTCAGGAAAGGCATGGGGACTTATCTGTTATAGATGAGACCAAGTTGGGGCTGGTGTCTTTAAGATGAAGGAAGACTAAGGGGGCAAATCCATGGGGTCTGGAGGGCTGAGTATTGGCAAAGAGTGCCAAATCTGGGAAACTTCAGGAAAAAGAGATGTTTGTTGGCTCATTTCTGTCTTGAGTGCAGAGGCCTCAGAGCAGACCTGCTGTGGGGTGCCTTACCCATCTCACACTCATCCAGGTCCTGGTGGCAGGTGGGCCCAGAGTAGCCTGGCTGACACAGGCAGAGGGGAGAGCCCATCAGGGGATTGGTGCTGCACTGGGCTTCTCTGTGGCACGGCTGGCTCAGACACATGTCCTCCAGGTGGCACAGGAGGCCTAGGGGGTGGGGGGAAGGAGTGGGTGAGGCTCTCAGAGCTCTCCTAGCTGCCCCCCAGGTGCTTCTCTCACCCTCCATCTCCATCTCCCACCTCCCCGGTACCCTCTGCTGCCCCCACACCTGTGCGGCCAGGTGGGCAGAGGCAGGAAAAGGAGCCCACACGGTCAATGCAGGTGGATCCTGGGGCACAGGTGGCAGCGACACAGTCGTCCAGGTTCTCCTCGCAGCCTGTGCCTCCCCAGCCACTCACACACACGCAGTGGAAGCTGCCAGCTGAGTTCTGGCAGGTGCCTCCATTTTTGCAGTGAGGGGGACCCTGGGCCTCACACTCATCCACGTCCTCAGAGCAATCCCAGCCTGCAGAGGGGTGGGGGGAGGCCAAGGGCTGGGGCTTGGAGCTGGTGAGGAGGGAGGCCAGGTACCAGCCTTCTGGGCCACAAATGCATGGGCTTGGCTTAAACCACTCACCTGTCCAGGTTTCTGGGCAGAGGCAGGTATAGGTGCTCAACCCATCCTGGCAAGTACCCCCGTTCTGACAATGGTGCCCGACACAGTCATCTGGATTCACCTCACAGTCTGGGCCTGTGAAACCTGACAGAGGCCTGGTTTCGGCTAGGAGGTGAAGGTCCCAAGGGAGATGACCCTCCCTGCCCAGAGAGAGGGGCTGCAGGAAGTCCCCTGTGAGGACACACCTGGGGGACAGAGGCATAGGTGGAAGGTGGAATCTCTCCCCGGCACCAGCTGACAGGTTCCCCCGTTGAGACAGCCCCTGGGGGGACAGGGTCCTGCTTGGAGCCCACAGTGTTGACCCTCACGCGCAGCAGGGCAGAGACACTGGAAGGAGCCCAGGGTGTTATGGCAGAAGGTGCCCGTGGGGCAGGGTCCTGGGTCCAGGAAGCACTCATTGACATCATGTTCGCAGGCATGGCCCTCGAAGCCAGGCGGGCAGTGGCACTGGATCTGGGGATATGTGGCCAGACACACCCCTCCATTGGCACAAGGGTTGGCTGAGCAGAAGTCCCGCAGCTGGCACCGCTCGCCTGCAGCAGGGGGCAGAGGGGGCCGTTTCTGGCACTGCACACATTCCAGCTGATTCGAGAAAACCCAGCCCTCACTCCGGATTATCTCCTTACCTTTACCCCCATACCCTCTCTGCCCTGTTCTATCTCCCCTCGCCTCCATTTCACCATGCCTTGGGAGGGTTATATCTGGAGTGACCGTTATTTTTCAAACTGAAAATAGGACGTGTGTCTGACGGTATGGGTATTGTAAGTTGGCAATGCCTGGGAAAATCTGGGTCATGGGGTCCCTGCAGTGGTGACTTTTGGGGAGAAGGCAAAAAGCACATGACATCTGTAGGCAGGAGACATAGGTTAGGATCCTTGCTGTGCACCCTTGGGCGAGTCACTTCGCCTCTCTGATCCCGATTTCCTAATCTTTACCAGTTGCCATCTAGCTGATTCCAACTCATGGTGAGCCCATGTGGGTCAGAGTAGAACTGTAATCCATAAGATTTTCAATGGCTGATTTTTCAGAAGTAGATTGCCAGGCCTTCTGAGGCACCTCTGGGTGGACTCGAACTTTCAACCTTTCAGTTAGCAGTGGAGTGCATTTACTGTTTGCACCACTCAGGGAGTCTACCTAATCTTTAGGTGGGTTTAATGACACAGGCAGTGATAATGATACTAACTTCACAGACCATGTGTACTAGTGGTGACTCCATTTATTGCTCACCTACTATGTGCTGGCTACTGAGCTAATTAAGCACTTTATGAGCATCGTCCCCTCTCATCCTCTCAACAACCCTGTGAAAAGTAAACATCAATATCGCAGCTTGTCAGCTGACAACTGAGGATCCGGAGCGCTTAAATATCTTGTACAAGGGTCGCATAGCTAGTCAGTGGCAGACCTGGCATTTGGCCCTGGGGGCTGCCCCAGAGCCCCTCTGTGAGGAACTGAGCTTGACAAGTCATGCCATGATCATTCACATTATTATCACATATGCTGTCTGACTCCTGGTTCCTTCCACCTGGTCTCAGCTCTGGTTTCCCTCCTTGATCCTTTAGCTCAGAATCACGCGGACAGTTTGAAAATCTCCATGCCCTGGGCCCTCCCCAGACTGATTAAATCTGACTTTCTAGGTTGGCCACGTCAGTATTTTTAAAGCTGCCCAGGTGATTGCCACACCCAGCCGAGTTCCAGAAGCCTTGCCTCTAATCCACACTCACAGACGCACCCTGTTTGGGGGCTGCTTCAGTTTACTAGCACTGTCTCACCCACATGGCCTTTGCTTCCTGGCCCAGCCTCTTCCATCCTGGCTGGATCCCATGGATCCTTCCTCTCCAGGGCCTCGCAGCTCTGTCCTTACACCCCTGACCACGTCCACAGGGTGGCCCATCATGCCCATCCCGTGCCCAGCTCCCTTGCCCTAGGATTACACCCCTCCTCCTGGGATGGCTCCCTATTCCTCCCTCTAGATCAGGTCCACCCCATCTCTACTCTGCCTCCCATCCATGGCTGGCTTTCCAGGTGATATTGTGGACACTACCACTCAGAATAGGGGCCATTCATATGCTCAAAATGCAGGGTCCTGGAGATCCCCTGGTGGGCTAGGCATTAAACCTTTAGCTGCTGGATAGAGGGAAGGCTGAGGGGGTCAGGAGAGGGATTAAGGTGGTACACTGAGGGGATTCATGGCAGTAGCTACTTACCAATGAATTTGGAAACATTTCTACATTTTAACAACCAGTACATCCATACTGGAGCCCTGGTGGCGCAGTGGTTAAGAGCTCGGCTGCTAACCAAAAGGTCGGGTTCAAATCCACCGGCCACTCCTTGGAAACCCTATGGGGTGGTTCTACTCTGTCCTATATGGTCGCTGTGAGTTGGAATAGACTTGACGGTAACCAGTTTAGACATCTATACTGGTGAATGTCATTCTTGGGTAAGTGGGTCGGTCTCCAAGAACTGGCTTGTTGATTCTCACGGCCTCTGTCCTCAAAGGGCTCACCCAAGCTCCAGTTCCGTCTTTTCCATCATGCACCCTCCCCCTCCTCTCAACCTCCATCAGCACTCACCTGTCCATCCAGAAAAGCAGTAGCATTTCGGGTGGCCTGAGGCCTGGATGTGGCAGCGGCCCCTTTGGTAACAGAAGAAGGGGAAACAAGGGTCCCTGAGCCAGGCCTGGCACCTCTCACCAGTGAAGCCAGGTGGGCAGGTGCAGAAGAAGCTGGGGGCCAAGGGAGAGAGCAGGCTAGGGGAGCCGGAGGGAGCAGGGAGCACGGCTTGGCAGCTGCCCCCATTATGGCACAGCTGGGCATCCTGGCAGGGGTCAGGGAACTGGCACGTCTCACCAAGGAAGCCAGGGGCACACCTGGGCAGGGAGGAGAGGAAGACTCGCATCACTGGCCCCCTTCCCGGGCTCTCCCACCTCCCTCCTTTTGCCTTTGTTTGTTTCCCTTCCTCTCGTTCGTTCCCCTCCTCCCTTTCTCCTTTCTTCTCCCTCCTCGCCTCTTCCTCCCCTGCTCTCCCTTCCTCTCTTCCTCCAATGCCCCACTCCCCCAAGGCACACTCACTGGCAGGCCCCTTGCCCCTGAGACAGGGTCAGGCAGGTGCCTCCATTGGCACAGACTTCTGGCAAACTCTTGCACAGCAGCCCTAGGGATAGACAGGGAGGATGAGCTGGAAGGGGGAGCTCTGTGCTGCCCCCTTTCCTCTTCCAGAGACTTGCCCACAGCAGCCCTGCCCATGTGCTCTCAAAACCATCATCTCCTCTCACACCCTGTTTCCAGTCCTCACGTGGTCCCCACGCCCCAGCCCCCTAGGTCCCAGGCCTCTCAGTTTTTACTCTCCATACCCCACCCCCTTCCTGTTTATTCTCTAGCTTCCAATTCCAGCCTCAGGCTCCATCCCTTATCCCTTGTCCCTCCTCTGTCCCTAGGAAGCAAGACAACAGGGATCAGGAGGGGGGGTCAAGGGGGCTCTGGGTGGTGAATGGCTGAGACATTGAAGGGATTTCCTCCCGGAAGGGCCCAGCATTGAGCCATCTGGCGGGTGGGGACAGCTGGACAAGGAAAGGCACTTAGTGGGCCCTTGACCTTCCCCAGTCTCCATCTCCTGTCCCCTCTCACTTCTTCCCCTAGCAGGTGATGAGTCTATTCCCTCTTCCTCTCCTAACATGGCTGCAAGAGCCCTCTGCCTCTCACCTCCAGGGTGGACTGGGTTCTCCCGGGGGGTGGGCACCCTCTCGCCCATCCCCCCCACAGTCACCACCCCTGGCATTAGGCCCAAAGCCTTGGTCTGTGCAGCTCCAGCGGCGGAGTCGTCTCTCCTGCAGGCTGTCCCCGTTGGGGGGTGAGAATCTTCTCCATCTACTGTTCCCTCAGAGTCTGTGGTTCAATCCCCTCCCCAGGCCCCACCAGACATCCTCCTAAGAGAGATGAGGCCCCCACCTCTCCCACCCACACGCCTCACCTCTGGTCTTGACAGTCGAGAAGCAAGGTAGCAGCAGAAGCAGCAATGAAAGGGGCTGCATTCCAGAGCCCCTGCCCCGGCTCTGTCTCCTCCCTCTTCAGGCAAGGACCCTCAGAGCCTCCCTGGGGCAGGAGCCACCTCCTCTGCTCCCACTGCCCTTTCTTCCTCCTCCCTGGCCTGCAGCAAGCCTCCCGTCTGAGCTGTTTCCTGAGTCACACAATGTCTTGGACACCCTAGTGATGTGGAGGGGGGTGTGTGGAGGAACAAGGGGGATGAGGGAGGGGCCTCCCTGAGAGCCCCTGGGGAGGTGAGGGAAGTAGGACAGTGTGGCTGGAGGGCAGGTGCTAGGAGGGGAGGGCCCACAAGTGTCTCTGTTTCTGATGTGGTCTCTGCTTCCCAGAGATGGGATTGCAAGGTGGCTGTCCCGTGCTCTGGAGGGGCTGGACCTGGAAACAGAGGTGTAGGGGGTGAGACCTCCTTATTCCTCTTCCCAAGAGAGACCGCTTGTTTTGTGAGGTCAGGACAAATGCTTCTTAGAGAACCTCCAACTTTCCATAATTTGAAACCACTCAGCCTTGGCAGAGGGAACTCAGGGGACTTCGGGGCCTCACCTTGGCCCTCACGGGGGACTTGGTTTTTTCCTGTTGGGGACTGGGCAGGGTGCTGCACTCGTTTTGGGGAAAAACTTGGTATTCCTTGAGAGGAGGAAGTGTAAGACCATCGTTATCAATGATAAACAAACACAGTCTACTCTTAATTTTGCAGCCTGGATTCTCTGTAGCAAATACTGAATTTTGGGTGGATTCCCTTCTCCCGAAGTCCCTGGGTGGTGCAAACGTGCTTGGCTGTTAATCAAAAGGGTGGAGGTTCTAGTCTACACAGAGGTGCCTTGCAAGAAAGGCCTGGTGATCTACTTCTGGGAAAAAATCAGCCATTGAAAGCCCTGTGGAGCACAGGGCTGCTCTGACACACATGAGGTCGCCATGAGTCCGAGTTGACTTGAGGGCAGCTGTTTTTTTCGTTTCTCCCATCTCTCTTTCCTTTCACTGCAGAGTTCCCTGGGATCCAGGGAATGCCAGTCTGTTGGAATACAAAATTGGAATAAATAAAATCACAAAAGGGAATTCACTGCCCTGAAAAAAACTCATCCTACCTTCTTGAGTCAGTCCTGGAAAGCTTTGGGGTCAGCCACACACTGAGTTCCTCTAGTAGCGCTGAGAAGCGAGAGTCCCAGGTGTCATTAGCAGCTGTGCACAGCCCAGAGTCGAGGCACCCACGGCCACAGCCTGGTGCTCTGTGACATGAGCACCTTCCCAAGCCAAGAAATATGCTTCACCAGCATCCTCTTCCTCCTTCTTCTTTTTCTTGTTTAAACTTTTTATTTTGAAATAATTTTAAACTCACAGAAAAGGGGCAAGAATAGTAAAAAGAACTCCAGGATACACTTCACTTTTATATTCACTAACTGATAGCATTTTGCCATATTTGCTTTGATCATTAACTAAAAATCAAACCAAACCCTAAGTCGTCAAGTTGATTCTGTCTCATAGTGACCCTTTATGACAGAGTAGAACTGCCCCATAGGGTTTCCAAGGCTGTAATCTTTACAGAAGCAGACTGCCACGTCTTTCTCCCACAGAGCAGCTGGTGAGTTTGAACCACCAACCTTTCAGTTAGCAGCTCAGTGCTTTAACCACTGCACCACCAGGGCTCCTATAAACATATATTAGTTTTTTTTTTTCCGAATCATTTGAGAGTAAGTTGCAAACAAGATGTCTTTTTATCCCTAAACACATCAGTGTGTATTTCCTAACAATAAGAACATTCTTTTACATGACCATAGTACAATGATCAAAATCAGTAAATTTAGATTGATGTAATACTATTACTTAATTTGCAGTTCATACTCAAACTTCATCAATTCCCATGTCCTTTATAATATATTTTTCTCCTGGTCCAGAATTCAATCCAGGATCATGCATTATATTTAGCTGCCATGTCTTTTGAGTCTCCTTTAACATGGGTAGAGTTCCTTAGCCTTTCTTTGTCTTTCATTATATTTCACTATTATTTCATTGACGTGTTTGAAGAATAAGGTCAGTTATTTTGAAGACCGTTCCTAAATTTGGGTTTGTCTGATGTTTCTTCAGCTTATGCAGTTTTTTTTGGGGGGGGAAGGGGCAGGTGTCTTGGTTTGCTAGTGCTGCCTTAACAGAAATACCACATGTGGATGGCTTTATTTATTAAACAAAAATTTATTTTCTCACAGTTCTAGAGGCTAAAAGTCCAAATCAGGGTTTTGGCTGTGTTAATTCCTTCAGTGGGTCTCTCTCCAAGTTCCTGGTGACTGCCTTCAATCCTTGGCATTCCTGGCCTTGTAGATGCATCTGTCTCTGTAGTTTGTCTTCTTCTTCTCCCTATATGTGTCTCTGTGTCTATTCTGCTCTTTTTGTAACTCAGAAGTGATTAGGTTTAGGACCCACCCTACTCTGGTATGACCTCATTAAGCTAACAAAAGAAAAGCGCTATTTCCAAACAGGGTCATATTTACTGGTACCAAAAGCAACCAAAACAGTTGCTGTCAAGTCAGTTCCGACTAGGGTTTTCATGGCCGTGACCTTTCAGAAGCAGATCACCAGGCCTTTCTTCTTGGGTGCCTCTGGGTGGGTTCAAACAGCCAACCTTTTGGTTAATAGCCTCATGCTTAACTGTTTTCGCCACCCAAGGATTCCATTTATAGGTTCAGGGCTTAGGATTGCAACACATATTTTTGGGGGACACAATTCAATCCATAACAGCAGGAACACTACAGAAGTGATGTGTCCTCAGTACATTGCATCAGGAGATGCATAAACCAACATCATTCTTAATGGTGGTCTAATATTCCACTCTTTGGTGAACCTTGGATCATTTAAAACAATCTCCTATTGTAGGGCATTTAGGTGAGTCTCATTTTTAAAAAAGTATGATAAACTATGCTGCAATAAATATTCTTGAAACCTGTGAGGGCCGGAATTTGAAGAGATTGCCTGGTTTTTCTGGGTTTCAAAAGTTTTCTGTCTTTGACAGGGTGCAGTCTTACCACTTTTCCATTACTCTTTATTAGTGGAGAATATTTGAGTTTTTCTTCCGTAACAGATTTCCGCCTTATACAGGTTCCAGCTTTCGCAGGTTTTACTGTATTGTTCTGGTTGCTAATTATCTCCTTAGCCTAAATTCCAAGGAGTGAAACCACTGAGTCGAAAGGTCAAGGGGTAGACTTGTTTTTGATGCTTTTGATACATAAATGTTGCCAAGTCATTCTTCAGAAAGCAGCACAGGACTTTATACTCCCCATCAGCAGTGTCTGAGCATGCTCTCACCTTCACCAACCCTGGGTATTAGAACCCTTGCCACTTTGATAGGTGACATGGTATCTCATTGTTACTTTTAATTCCCTTTCATTCTAAGGGTTTACATTATTTTCATCTGCTTAATGGCTGTTCATGTTTCGTCTTCTGTGAATTTTCTTTCTATGCTCTTGGCCCATTCTCCTATTGGCATCACTGTCATTTTCCCATCACTTTTCTTAGTTGAGGAGGCAGCCATTGGTGTGGGAACCTGGTGTCTTAGTCATCTAGTGCTGCTATAACAGAAATGCCACAAGTGGATGGCTTTAACAAAGAGAAATTTATTCTCTCAGTCCAGTAGGCTAGAAGTTCAAATTCAGGGCACCGGCTCCAGGGGAAGTCTCTCTCTCTGTCGACTCTGGAAGGAGGTCCTTGTCATCAGTCTTCCCTTGGTCTAGGAGCATCTCAGCACAGGAACCTCAGGTCCAAAGGACACGCTTTGCCCCGGCACTGCTTTCTTGGTGGTGTGATGGTTCCATGTGTCTCTGCTTGCTTTTCTCTTTTATATCTCAAAAGAAATTGGCTTAAGACACTATCCAATCTTGTAGACCTCATCTGTATAACTGCCACTAATCCCTCTTATTGCATCATAGTGATAGAGTTTACAACACATAAGGAAATCACATCAGATTACAAAATGGTACACAAGCATACAAAACTGAGAATCATGACCTAGCCAAGTTGACAAATATTTTTTGGGGACACAATTCAATCCATGTGAAAAAGCCATACTTTCATTCTGTCTGGCTTCCTGACTGGGTGATCTGGTATTGGTGAGAAGCAAAAGAAAAATAGGAAGAGACACCAGGCTTTTTCTGGAACCAGTCATTCTCCAGAAAGTCAGAAGGCCTGGGTGGAAAGAAAGGGAACTCTGCATTTCTGCCATGTTCCTAACTTCACACCATTTGTAGAAAAGGAGGTTGGGGCACTAGACTGGAGCTTGTGAGAGAGAAGAGGAAATGGCAGCGGAGTTAGAGAAGGAGCGGTTGGGTGGAAGAGGAACCAGGAGTGCAGTAGAGCAGAAGCTAGGTTTAAGGACAGTGTCAGGAAGTTGCACAGCCCCCTTCTTGCCTTAAACCTGCCTCAGGGAAGGCAGTATGCACCTGCTCAGGTGTTATGAGCTGTGCTTGGGTCCCAGACACCATCCCTGGCTTTCAGGACCTTACAGCCTAAAGAGTATGGATGCCTCCCTAAGAGCTTGTTTCTCCTTGCCAATGACTTCCCAATGGTTGATGCCAGTGAGGGTGGTGCCATCTTATATTTGGCCATTACAGTGAGCTGCAGCATGCCAGGGGCACAGAAATTTCTCTCTAGTCTAATGTGACCCTTCCCTCACAATATCCCAACAAACAGAGGTTCAGTTTGCTCGGTTAACTTTTCTTCCATTGTACATGTAGTCCCTGACTTACAGCGGAGTTCCGTTTTGAAGACTTCATCATAAGTTGGCTCTGACGTCAGTTGAATGCCTCATTTTTTTTTTTTTTTAGTTTTCATTATTATTGCCTTTTATTATCAGTATTGTTATAAATCCGATCTTTATTTGTCTTTGGGGGTTGTAGTATTACATATAAACTTACAGATATATTTTAATACATACATACAGACATAAAAAATACACAAACTGTAAAAATTTACTTCTATGATGAAGAGTTGGACGATGTTGGCATTTTGTTAATTGCAGTAATGACGCCACCTGTGGAAAGTTCTGGATCATCTGGAGTATTCCTGGGAATGGGGATGGTGTTTCTAGTCAGAAAATTAGTGAGAGTTGTCCATATGGTCCTTTTCTTTTTTTCTTCATATATTTC